AGAGAGCTATAAAATATATCAAAGTTTTTATAATTTTGTAGTGGCTAAAAGCCTTTCTTTTTGAGACAGTCTCACTCTGTTGCCCAGACTGGAGTGCGTGGGGAGATCTCAGGTCACTGCAACCTCTGCCTCCCAGATTCAAGCGATTCTCCTGCCTCGGTCTCCCGAGGAGCTGGGACTACAGGTGCCCACCACCATGCCCAGCTAATTTTGTATTTTTAGTAGAGATGGGGTTTTACCATGTTGGCCAGGCTGGTCTCGAACTCCTGGCCTCAAGTGATCCACCTGCCTCGTCCTCCCAAAGTCCCAGAATTACAGGCATGAGCCACTGCGCCCGGCCTGCTCAAAGCCTTTCTAAGCAATCCCCAAATTCAGAAGACATACAGTCACAGATTGATCAACATGACTGCCTATGCATTAGAAATTTCTAAATAGCAGAATGAATTTTTTTTGAGACGGAGTCTCACTCTGTTGCCCAGGCTAGAATGTAGTGGCATGCTCACAGATCACTGCAGCCTCAACCTCCTGGGCTCAAGTGATCCTCCCACCTCAACCTCCCTAGTAGCTGGAACTATAGGCATGTACCACCATGCACAGCTAATTTTTGTATTTTTTGTAGAGACAAGGTTTCACCATGTTGCCCAGGCTGGTCTCGAACTCCTGAGCTCAAGCTATCCTCCTGCCTCAGCCTCCCAAATGGTGGGATTACAGGCATCAGCCACAGCACCAGGCCAAAAATTATAATATTATGAAACATCAATATCAAAGTGAGGAAGGTATTTGAAATATAGAAAACAATGGGCTAATTTCCTTTATACATTAAAATTTTAACAAATCATTATGAAAAAGACTACAACCTAATAAATAACTGAATGAATATAAATATATAACTTACCATGTATTCCTTTCATATTCTTAAACACTAAAAAGGCTGTTAACACTTAGTACAGTCAAGTATGTAGAAAAAACGCCAAAGAAGTTATAAACTATTGCCAGGCGCAGTGGCTCACGCCTGCAATCCCAGCACTTTGGGAGGCCAAGGCAGGCGGATCACGAGGTCAGAAGATTGAGGCCAGCCTGACCAACATGGTGAAACCCCGTTTCTACTAAAAATACAAAAATTCACTGGGCGTGGTGGCTCACGCCTGTAATCCCAGTTACTCAGGAGGCTGAGGCAGGAGAATTGCTTCAACCTGGGAAACAAAGGTTGCGGTGAGCCAAGATCACACCACTGCACTCCAGCCTGGAAGACAGAGCAAGACTCCATTTCAAAAAAAAAGGAAGTTATAAACTGTTACAGCATTTTTGGGAGGAAAGTTGGTTAATATATATCAAATTTTACATTGCAAATACCATTTAACAAAACAATGACCTTTCTAGGATTTTACCCTACACCTGCAATATATCAGTAAGAAAAGACAGCCCAACAGTATGAATAAAATACTCTTAGCAACAGAAATGTTAGAGGCCTAGAAACACACAAAGATTATAAACCTCACTAAAATTCACACATATGCTCATTAAATAGTAAGATACTGTCTTTTATCCATAAGAGTCACTGCTGATGAAGAGTATTAGAAATTAAATACTCCCATATAAAGGCTGGTTGACAGCCTGACCAACATGGAGAAACCCTGTTTCTACTAAAAATACAAAATTAGGTGGGCGTGGTGGCATATGCCTGTAATCCCAGCCACTTGGTAGGCTGAGGCAGGAGAACCGCTGGAACCTGGGGGGGAGAGGGGGCAGTGAACTGAGATTAAACCACCACAGCACACCAGACAGGGGAAAAAAGTGTTACTGTTTATAAAAAAAAAAAAAAAAAAAAAAAGGTCACAAAAAAAATTCACAATAAGTTTCATAATGCTTTAAGAGACTTTACAAATTTGTATTAGGCCGCATTCAAAACCATCCTGGGCCGCATGCAGCTCATGGGCCGTGGGTTGGACAAGCTTGTAATGCCTTCTGCAAAACTCAACCACCTTTGTAAAGCTGAGAGGCTACCAGGTTAGGAGGATATGAGTGAGGAGCCTGAAATCTGCTAATGTGTAGACTAAAAGATTTCTGGCCATCATTCCAGAGGTCACAAGATTTGGAACTCCCTAATTACTCCCACAGATAATATCACTATTATAGAACCTAAGATTGACCTTTTGAGGCATTTTTTTTAGTTTTTGCATTTCTGATGACCAGTGGCTCCACCAGGACTAGCCAACCTCCACCAACCGGTCCTATGGGCCCATCCAGAAGCTGAATCCATGGCCCACCAAGCTATCCTTGAAAAACTCTACCCTCCAAATTTTCGGGGAGACTGATTTGAGTAATAACTTCATCTCTCAGACTTGTATCAGTTAAACTCTTATTGCAATGCCGTGGTCTCAGTAAATTTCTTTTGACTGTGCAGTGGGCGGAAAGAACCCACTGGCTGGTTCCAGTAAAAATACCTTAAATCAGCCAGGTGTGGAGGCTCACACTTGTAATCCTAGCACTTGGGAGGCTGAGACGGGCAAATAACTTGAGGTGAGGAGTTCGAGACCAGCCTGGCCAACTTGGTGAAACCCTGTCCCTACTAAAATTACAAAAATTAGCCAGGTGTCATGGTGCACACCTGTAATCCCAGCTACTTGGTAGGTTGAGGCAGGAGAATCGCCTATGATCCCAGCTACTCGGGAGGCCGAGGCAGGAGAATTGCTTGAACCCAGGAGGCAGAGGTTGCAGTGAGCCAAGAT